CCACCCTCACTGTGAAAAATTTCCACCTAATACCCAACCTAAATCTCCCGTCTCTTAGTTTAAACCCATTCCCCCTTGTCCTGTCACTATCAACCCCTGTAACAGTCGCTCCCCCTCCTGTTTATAGGCTCCCTTCAAGCACTGGAAGGCCACAATGAGGTCTCCCCGGAGCTTCTCTTCTCCAAGCTGAACAAGCCCAATTCCCTCCACCTGTCCTCATAGGAGAGGTGCTCCAGCCCTCTGGTCATCTTTGTGGCCTCTTCCGCATCCGTTCCAAGAGCTCCACATCTTTCTTGTGCTGGGGGCCCCAGGCCTGGACACAGTACTGCACATGGGGTCTCCAGATGGTTTAGTGGTGTCACTCCTGCGCCTCGCAGTGCCATGCGTGCTTTCGCCTGGCATGGCTTCACGCAGGCTGCCCAGATCCTTGGGAGCTCCCCAGGGAGCAGCAGGGCTGCCCCCCAGCCCAACACTTGGCTGTGCTCAGGGCAGGTTCAAGAGCTGAGCTCAAGGCAGCAGCCCCTGGGCTGGTGCTTGCTGGGGGGTGCAGTGGCTCCTGCACCCCCTGGTTCCTGCCTCCTGCCAGGGCTGACACACAGTGAGGACGAGTGCAGCCCTGGGGTGAGCCTGAGCATTTGGAGGTGCTGAACCCTGCGCTCCCACCCACCTCGGGCTCTCTCAGCCTGGTGCAGGACAGGGACCGGCCGGATCCGTGCCCGTGGGGTACTCTGGGGACCCCACAAGCTGCTGAGCAGACCGGCTCAAAAACACAGTGTGTGGAGGCGCAGCGGGGGTCTGAGCGCTGTTTAATGCTCCCATCCCGGACTGACTGCATGGGATGGAGGGGTCACGCAGCATCACCCCTCCGCTGCCTGCCCCGGCCATCCCCTGTCGCCCTCCTTGAACTGCTGCAGGAAGAACTGTGCTGCCAGCCGCTTGGTCATGGTCTTCAGCGCCAGGAAGGCAGCTGTGATCTCCGTGACAAGGAAGGCCAGGAGGAGGCTGTGCACGGCCATCTCCAGCGGCAGGTGGATGACCTGGCTGTCTGT